GGGCCTCTGCATTTAGTAGGCATGCCTTAAATGAAAGAAGAATTTGCGACGGGGGTTAATGCCAAAGCAAATTAAATACATTATCCATCTATCTAATGTAGGTTATGTCACAAACTTTTCACAAAAACAAGAAAGTCAATACTTACCTTCATGTGCTACATGGGAACTAAATCCTGCAGAGATCCAATTTTATCTGAGAGTATCGTGAAAATGAAACATGGAAACATGTGGTCCATTTCGACCGTAGTTCCTACTTCAATTGGGAACTCAGCCTTTGCAGAAACTGGAAATGGTTGCACTGCATAGATCAAGTACTAGTTTAATTATATAGATTTGACAATGGGGCCAATTTGACAATGACGATGTATATTTCAACAAATCCTACATATTTTTAAAGTCAAAATAATGTTCGTCACAACTCCGTGAAATTCTCTTTATTTAGAGACCTCATTCATAGAGATTGGTTGCGTGTGAGAGTTGCAAAAGGTATGTATACTACTTCCCTTTTAGGAGATCTGTATACCTGTATAGGAGACTATGAAAAATTTTATCATAAAAAAAAGGTACTTAGAGACTTTTTTTACTTTATCGCCTTACGAATTCTTCTTAAGAATAGAAAGTTATGTAATCGTGCGCCAAAAAACATCAAAATATTGACAGAAAAAACCTTATTGTGGGGTTCTGGTATCGAAAAAGAGGATAAATTATGTTGCTAAATTTAGAATAAAAATACTTGAACTTGTGGTGTAGCCAGAATACATGTTTTGTTGGTTCTTGATACCAAAAAAACTGTTGTAAGAAATCAGGTCTTCAAAAAAACCGGTCATGTACAATTTTTTGAAAAATGAGGTGATTTCTTTTAATTAGTGTCTGAAAGTTATGCTATTTTTAAAAATATTTCCTGAAAACCCGCACAAAATATTTTCATTAAAGTTTTTCCTCGTATTTAAGAGCATATGATAAATAAAACTAGTGGTGCTATAGAATGGCACAGACGTTTTGGCACTAGTTAGTTTTTATAATCTCTTAACTCTAATTAGGTTACCGGTTGTGCCTTATTATTTTCCCAAGTACCTTCTTTGGTCGCCCAAAGGACATTTTTTCCCCATTTTCTCCTCTTTCGGCTTCCTAATGCTGAATGAAACCACCATATCAGTCCCATTTACGACCCGGGTGGCGGAAGTGGCTAATTGGCGGATGTGGATTTAACTCGTCGGAGGGGAGCTTTTGATGGTTCGAACCTTGGCTGGGATATATTATTTGTCACAATTCTCTTTTGCCTAAGAAAACAATTAAGAATTCCAGAAACATTATTGAAAATCATTTGAAGTAATTCTAATCACAAATATATTTAATTAAGATAAAAAAACTGGAAGTTTGTATGTGATTTTCGAATTTTTAAGATTTTTTCACATCTCTTGTTCGATTTGTGAAACGAATATACCATCAAATCATTTGTTCGCCTTACTGTGCATCTGTATGAAGCGATTTAAGTAAAATAATAAATATATTAACATAATGCAATTTAACTAGTACTCATGGGACCAACTTATACATCTAATGGTTCCGAATTATTATTCCTTTCTCGTTTTACGAATTCTTCATAAGAAGAGAAAGTTATGTAATCATGCGCAAGAAAACGCCGAAATTTCGACAGAAAAAAACCTTATTGTCGGGTAACGAAAAAGTGGATAAAATCTGTTGCTAAATATAGAAAAAAATCCTCTAACATGTGGTGTAGCCAGAACCCATGTTTTGTTGGTTCTTGATACCGGAAAATCGTTTGACGGCAAGACGTCCGTCTGTCTGTGGTCAACGCTAGCGCCTAAACCGTTCAGTTGATTTTATTCAACTGAATGGTTTCTTCACTTTTTAGGGGGGGGCATGACTCAGGCATGAATTTTTTTATGTCTTTGCCCGAATTCGATCCATACGGCTCTTCTGTGGCGCACTGATATGAGTGTCTGCACGTTAACTCGGAGTATTTGAGTTCGAGGGTCAGAGCAGAAATATAATTTGCTGCTTGAAAGCACTTTTGCTGGTTTATGTAGTAGAATAATGTTGTGAAGCATTTAGAAACTATGCGAGAAAATATGTGCTTTGGCAGCATCACTAGTTTTTTTTCAGATGCATAAATCTTGATTGAGATTGCCATAGAGACATGTAATTTACTAGCATCAATAGTACAATAGGCGCTGCACTTTTTAAAACTTTATGACTTACGGGATTTCAAAAACTAATCCGGAATGGTTTACTTCAATAAGTAAATAAATAAACATTGCAAGTTCAGTTTGTAATTTGACACATTACGAGTATTACAATATTATGTGAAATTACAATGTGCATCTACGAGTACATCAAGCATGATTAATATGCAGAAACAGTTGCTTAAAATATATGTGTTTCTATGATAGTAGATCGCAATATTCCCATATTGAACATCCCTTTAACCAGTCTCTGTGTCAGTGATATCCAATTCATACACACTATATACTTACATAGTTATACTCGCAATACAATGTCTTACGGACTTTCAAAACCAAACACATTGCAGAATCCTCACGAAAGATTCATCTATCTGCAGCTTCTATTTTCTCACAAAAAGGGAAAATGCAAATGAGAGCGACTTACGAGGTTTTAAAAATAACCTATTCAAATATAGTTGTAGGAATACGTCGAAAAAATTTTGAATTTTTGCAATTTTCTGAAAATCAGTGATTTTTACGAAAATAAAACATACAATATTCTCCTAAACGTCCTTCACACAATCCAACAACAAAATTTAATAAAAAAATCGGTGCTATTTTTTGAAAAATTTGAAAATGTCACAGTGCTTCCCAGAATTAAAATATCTGTTTCAAATTAAAGGGCCGCGACATCAGCTAGATCGATTAAGGAATATCAATTCTGGAGAAAATCGCCTGAACGGTTTAGCTGCTACCTTTATTCACAGACAGATGGCCGGACAGACGGGCGTTTTGCCGTCAATAGATTTTTTGGAATCAAGGACTCGCAAAATATGGACTCGCGATACAACACGTTTTAGAGTTTTTTTTATATTTAGCAGCTGGATTTATCCATTTTATCGATACCAGAGTCAAACATTAAGTTTTTCTGCCGATAATTCGCCATTTATTCTCACAGCATTACATAACTTTCTCTATACCGCGTAAGCGGTAGCGAGAAACTAACAAGATGTGATTCATACATGTTTAGTAGATGAATTACACAGGCACACGAAATTAAAAAAGTCGTGATACCCAAAGACTTGACACGTTTATTTATATATTTTCACGCGCTAAATCCGATCTGAAGCCAGAACCTTCCATTTTTTTAAATCGGCAAAACCCGTCGTGAAATTGTATTTTTTGGGTTGTTGTTGTTGTTGTTGTTTTTTTGGGGGGGTGTCAGACCCAAGGGCTTGACACATGTTTCTCAATGTATGTCGACGCCCTAATTCCCAATCTGAAGCCAGAATTGCGCCCCTACCCACTGTTTTTTATAGCGAAAATCCACCGTGAAATTCTATATTTTTGTTTTCGGGAATTGTTGTCAGACCCAAAGACTTGACTCATGTTTATCTATGTATGTCGACGCGCTAAATCCGAATCTAATGCTAGAATTTCGCCATCTTTAATTATTTTAATTCGCGAAAAAACACCGAAAAATTGAAGATTGTAAATTCGAGTGATTTTTTTCCGATTACAAAACTGGAGGAAGGTGGCACAATTCTGGCTTCAGTTTCGGATTCAGCACATCGACATATATAGAGAAACATGTGTCAAGTCGTCGGATCTGACAACAACCCTCGGTAACACAAATACAATTTCACGATGTTTTATCGCGATTTTAAAAAAATGGATGATGGTGTCGCAGTTCTGGTTTCAGAATTCTGCGCATCGAAATACATAGAGAAACACGTTTAACGTCTTTGGGTCTGACAACAACTCCCGAAAACGAAAAATAGAATGTCACAATGTTTTTTGCTGTTTAAAAACATGTGAGAGTGATGGCCCAATTCTGGCTTCAGATTCGGATTCAGCGCGTTCAAATGCGTAGAAAAAACCTGTTTCATGTCTGTGGCTCTGACAACTTTTTTGTGCCTGGGTATTTTTGTTTCTGGGCACGTCACTTGCTAAGGTTATGAGTGCCATAAAGGTAGCGCATGGTAAAGGAAGAGGTGTTTAAAAAAACAAGTCCGTCAAATATTTTTAAAATAAAAATGGCATCTTAAAAGCCAATCACTACATCTAAATAACTTCTGTTTCGAACGTCATTTGCTGAAAACCCTATCACAGTATTTTGAATAGTTCAGAGAATATTCAGGATAGATGCTCTTAGTGACTAATCTGTGCGCTCGTAACTGTTATTGTGAGTTTTTTGTTGTTGATTTTTTAATTGGTTGCGTGTTCGTAACACGTTCTAAGCCCTTTTTGGGTATTGAGCGTATGTGGAATAATCCTCCATTAACTTACTTTGTCTTTTTGTCTCGTCAGGTCGCAGTCAATCAGTGCCCTTTATTCCTTCGGCGAACGGCTCGGCGCCGTTAGTAACCGGGGTTCCCAGACGGTCAGCCGTCCAGGAATCCGTGGTGTCTCGAATTGCTTAACTTCCGTAACTTCACGGAGCGCAGTTAAGCCATTCGGCTAACGACGCCGACTAAGTTATCCATTAACTCCACAAAAACTACACATTGAAGTATGTTATGTAATCTAATTTAATGTCTTACTTTGAATATTTTTTGTTTATGTTTTCTCTAGGAAATAATAATATGCTTTGTCCTTCTGCACTGTATTTGTGCGCGAAATAATAAAAGTTCTCATCTTCGGTGATTGATCTACTACTTACCTTCTGGGAAATGGTCTTCGGAGAGATTAAAAGCGTAGGACTCTCCAAGAAGGACACTTAATTACAATACGATAATGCACAATGTGTCTTCTTTAGCACATTACATCTTTTATGAAGTATTCATAAAAGTATTAACGTAATCAATTTTTCAGGTTCGTACAAAGGAAGATCGAAAAAAATCACCCGTTCAGGAAGAAGCTAGACTTATAGTCGGAAGAGAACGAAGTAGATCGGACGGCAGAGGCAGCAGTTCAGCTGCGGAAAGTGTAAGGCCAAAAATTATGGTGTCATCTCAGAGCGATGAAAGTAAGCAGTCTGCTAGTGGTGGAGGAAAAACAGTGTTTCGTTCAGGTAAGAGTAATGTTTACTTACTTAACCATTTTAACTCGAGTCAGGGTATCGGTTACGCGGGAGAGTGTGAGTAAATAATGTATTGCTTCAAATTTATTATTTTGTTGCTGTGTCGTGATGTAGCTAGAACGATAATATGCGATGAGTTATATAAAACTATTAAATATCTTTGTATAATAGAATTGTTTCTTTATGCTAAAAAACAATTTATATGATTTTTTAGTATCAGTTAATAAATATTTTCATATATTGATGACTGTTATTTGGTATGGAATATTTGCTTATTGAAGTTTTCAGTAGTAATGGACGATTACAGGCATGTATCACTAGGAGGCAGGCGATTATAGAAACAGCGGTGAGTCCAGAGGAGTGTTACATTAGAACTTTCTAATTGACCTAGTGATCTATATTTCTGATTGTTACCTTCAGGGATTTAAATAACTCCTTCATTTCTTCTTCCTATGTGAAATTGCAGTCATTTTTTTCAAAATAGCGTCCAGATCAACCACTTGAAATACTTGCCCCGTTTGTGTTTGTAATACACCGCTATAAAAGTTTTAGTGACAGGTAGCTACATATACTCTTTTCCTACTCCTTGTATCTGCCCACCTTTTTTAATATATGCAACAAGCATTCTAGCAGTTGCTCCAAGTTCTTTGCTTCTCAAGGGAGATTTAGAGCTGTCTCAAAAATATTATCCTTAAATGTCTTGCAATCTTGATCAAAAGTAGAATTAATAAGGCAGTCATTGACTTAATAGAATTCAGTTATTTAGCACGAAATTAATAACCAAATATCCCAAGGTTGTCAGGTTTAGTTTTGAAACTCTTTTTTTTCAATCCGTAGACGACGTGGCTTGCAACTTCCTTCAAAGCAACTTTGCGGCTGTCATAATTTTAAATACATCGCGTTATTAACTTTATTGAGCGTTCGATGCTTGTTTGAAACGAATTAAAGCGTTTTTTGTTGCCTCATGAGGGTTGCGAATAGTGTATCGTTATTTATTAAACGCCATCACAAATGTTTTGTGTATTGTTATCAGAAATGTGAGCCACGATATTTACTATCATAATTCTTCTTCGTTTTGACACTAAAAACACGGTTTCATCGAGCAACGATGACTCTCATTTTCCAGAAACAAAGGGGAAGATATCTGTCAACAAAAACTGCAAACGTCATCGTTCTCGGGATGAAGCTTCTTGTAGTCACTCGCTTACTGCAATGCGACGATGGAATCAAGCAGGTAATCTGGAGGCGAAGAGTAAAATGCTATAGGGAAGCACATATATGTGATATTTCTAAAAAGGTTTTTTCAATAACAAGCACATGAATATTTTGGTGTCGCGATCGTGACAACCCGTATGCAATGAGTTTATAAATGTATAGTATGCAATTATTCTATTCTATGATTGGACGTGGCTATTCCGAAACAAATGAATCATTAGGCATCCCAGAACATTTCGTTTCAAAAGTAAATGAACGTGAAATTAACGAATTTTAAGTGCAATGGAAAATAGATTAAATTATTTGTGGATTATAGATTCAACAATAATACACACACTGTAACAGACGCTTTTTAGTGATGAAACAAGGAAATAAAAATTATTGCTTTTTATTTTTCGCTTTGATAAATGTCTTTAATCTTAAACCAGTTCTCTATCCAAAATAAAGTTAATCGTATATCCTCCGATCTCCCCTTTAGGAAGTTCTTTTCATTATCAAAAACAAGGGAACACTAATTCAGCAAAAAATGACAAGAAGACAGGATCGTTTGGCTAAAGTGTCAGAGTATCCATTTCTCTATAATTGTTTGTTTATGTAGTGAAAAATTAAGATGTCAAATCTGTTATTTTACTGCTTTTTAAATGTGTGTTCCTTGTTTCGATCCAAAAATTTTAGAAAATGAGAAGCTCAAAATGGATCTAAAGCTAATTCCTTATTCTCAAAATTACACTTCATTTCTTACTTTTGAAGTATATCACGAAAACAAAACTTTGGTTATCACATAAGATATTACGTACGGTACAAAGGACCGTTTCATGCAACCAGTTAAAGCATATAGTATCTTAGTAGTCTTACCCTTTATGCGTTTCCTTTCTGGATATCGACCCTGAAATAAAGGAATCAGCATCCAAAGAATCTTCACCGTACCAGCATTGTTATCCCCCTCTAGGTGCGGAGGCGTGATAAATGGAATAAAAAGCTGTATATTTCAAAAGAGGTTTACGAAAATTAATGGAACGCATTTTATCCTTGTAAGTAATTGCCAAACAGCACGTCAAACTTGTAAATTAGGAATTCTTATCAAATTTCTCAGTGTTTCAATCTCCGCCCCTGGGATGGAATTAGGACTCATCAAAGTGGGAAATTTAAGCACACAGTAGTTTATGCGAGTACAAATTCGGCAGGGGGACTCCAGCAGATTTCGGTCAACCTCAACGATACCATCTGAAAGTACAGATATGCATCAAAATCGTGGCACATTATATTAAGAAAAAAGGCACAAATTTTTCATTTTGTAAAAACAATATATGATTTCGAAAAATTAATTCCTTTTATCCTAAAAACCTGAAGTAGTCTGTAGACTCTTGCCATCTCCTGATGTGAACATCATTATTTAGAAAAGAAAATAGTAATGTAAATAACAGTTTTGAGTGGTCGCTGCCAAGCAATCGTAAGAACTCTTGCAGAAGACGGAATTAGGGATAAGGCACAGGCACGTAACTCTATCCTTTGTTTTTTAATATAAGAATGAGGCAAATCCTTCACGGAAATTCATTATCTTGTATCACTTTCAAATAGAAATTTTCTTCCTTCATTAATAGTTCCAAGTTCCTCCTGATGGCTTTTGTATATCAGTTTGTATGGTTTGCTGAAAGGCACAACGCTAAACATGCGAAAAAGACTATTCACTTCCGAAAAATAACAGTCATTTATTGTATTAAATTTGTTTCTATAATAATTAACTAGCATTAGTGAGAAAGGTTACAAGTATTAACAGAATAAATTTATTACTAGAGGTCAGATTTTTAGGGACAAACATTTTCTATTTTAGTTGCTAAAATAGTTGCTTTAAATAAAATTTAAAAATATTAAAAATAGATGCATGTTTATGTGCAAAAAAATAGAAATTAGTTCAAATATAAATACATGATTTCATGTCATAACATGACAAATGCACATGAAATGTTGAGAGAAAATAGGTAAGTTATATACAAACTATATTTTTACAACAGGTTCACATCATCAATGATATCACTGTTCTCTGTGCCATAAAAATATTTTGTATTAAATTGCATCCTAGTGTTAAGGAAATCGAAATTTACCTATCCATTCAGAAAGTTTGAATAGGCAGATAAAGATCTTTCTACGTGCTCTGACACTAGTGGGAGCAATCCTAACACAATTGAGGCAATCCTTTCTTCTAATGCCAAATCATTAGCGCTTGTAACTTTTAAAATATTTGGAATTTTGGCCAAACATTGTTTCAATTTCTAAAGAGCAAATCCTTCTATACTTTTCTTTGCTACTGTGAAACTTCACCACTGTTCAACGGCAGGCAGTAGCCCCTCTGTAGTTAGTTGATAGATGTACAAAGAAGTTTGGAGGAGTGGACACATAAGAAGTCTCTTTCCAAAACGGTATTGTGCAAGAGCTTTTTACGCTTTTCCTATCAAAAGATTGATCTCCGTCAATGTTACTGACAAAATTCATTATTGTTTTGAAGTTTTCAACATAAAACACACAATGGTTTATCTACGTTCCCCAGCGAGTCACGATGGGGTGAGGTTGTAAACGAGATCGATAGTGCTTTCTTTATGTACGAGAACATTTGAAGCACATTTAGTAAGCACTTTCTTCGTCAACAGTATTAATTCATTAGAGACGTTTTATTCTTTACGTACTACTTGTGATACTCTATGCAATCCAACTCAACAACTCTATGCAAACTCTTCCGGCAAAACTAGTTTGCCTCCTTTACCGGGGCTATTCCAAGCCCTGTGAAGCGTCCTAAACCCTACCACTGTTCTAATTCCTTCTCAATTCTGGCCGCTGAGTAGTGGCGTAGGAGCGTGTGTGAGAGGCGCGTACACGGAGATGCTACCTGGCGGTCCTCTTCAACACTCCTGGCACTACTACAGACTGCTAATACTATATTCTAAAATATAGTTTAACGGAGGATTACTCCATAAAAACGCGTTCTACGACAAGTTGCTGGCTTACTGCATCGGTGTCTGATGAATATGATTCCTGTGACGTTTGTTGTAATTATAGACATTTGTATTGCATAAAAATACCCAACCTTGAATTAGTTTTTCCTTCATATACTATGAATTTTTTATCACGAAACCAATTACAAAAACTGAAATTGTACTATTAATTATTTCTTACTTGCAAAGTTTATTCAAATCATCCGCAAAAATAGCAAGTGTTAATAGTAACAGTATGTTTATAATGAGCATATGAATATCGTGTACATATAGAAGAAAATAGACAGGTACATATAGAAGAAAATAGACAGAAGTAAAGATCGACCCCTGGCTCAATTGGCAATGAATCAGAGAGATGAGTAAATATGTTTTTTTTTTCATCTTAGCACATTTTCCCTTGCCTTTACTCTCTAAAGCCGATATTTATGGTATAAAGATACCTAATCTAAAACTGCGAATCCCTGTGCCTTTTTGGCTTGGTGGTGGCGATATTGAACGACTGTTTCAAAAGGTTGACTGGCGAAGAAGAGCGCGAGACTTGTTCATCCTTGTTAATCGTGCATTTTATTCGCGGTTTTGAGAATGTGCTCTTTCTATGAGTAATATTATAAACAACTTTATTCCCACAATCTCTTAGATTCCGACATTGGTCTTGCATATAAGTCATAGAACATGATACTGTTATTCTCACGTTCAAAAGTACCGAACAACTATATGTAAAATAGCTTGCCTTCAAGTCGATGATATACTAACATAGAAAAAAATAAGGAAATATAGTACAAATCCAGTATGTCATTTTTATGTTCTGATAACCAACGTGTCATGTAGCTATGAAAATATTCGAATATATATGAAGACGTATTATTTTTCTTTGTTTATACTTCATTGATATAAGTACGTCTTTTTAAAAAAATGTATGTTTCCTCACATGAACAGGTTGAAATAATATCAGTCTCATTGATCGGCATGGCTCGGTTGCTGAGAGCGAAGTCGCTCACATTTCACCAAGGAGGTTCGGATTCGATTCTCGTTGACTCCCGTCGATTCCCGGACAATTTCATGTGAGATTTGTTCCGACAAAACGAGTCTGCTCTGTAGGTACTAGTCCAACCCCCTGTGATGTGTTCTAAACCTTTCCCTTTCCTAAATCCTTCCAAATTCTGGCCAGTGAATAGTGACGCAGCAGCGTACAGGACAGAGGCACGTACGCAGACATTCTGCCTAGCGGTCCTCTGGACAACGACGTACGGACTAACACTAAAGTATGTATGTACGTACTTGACGCGACAGCCTGGAACGGGCTCAGGCCTACCGACGACGTCTGTGCCTCGCGGCCATAGGTTAATAAGGGGGTATGTTTGCAGGCATCCCCACGCCGTATTCTGAGAAGTGAGTTTTATCATCGTCACAGAGCAACATATACTGGGACATTGCAAGGAAAACGCACACAATAACCTTGCCCGAACGGGAATCAAACCCGAAGTCGTGTCATGGAAAGCGAGCACGCTGACCAATGAGGTAAACCGCTAGGGCATATTAGGGACATATCAGGGACCCAAAATAGATGTATTTTCATCAACCCTCGACATATATGTTTTCCATTTACATATCTTTCTCTGCACCACGTATTCGAGAAATGAAAAATACATCAACCAGAAACATTCTAGAGACATTCTTAAAGGGTAATTGTACAGAGGTGGACAACTCGGCAACAGTACCTAGTCTTCCACAATTTTCCAACACCTTTCGAGAATTGTCTGAGAATTGCGGTTGATCTCACGATAGGTCTAAAGCAACAAAATTCAACTCAGACATTTCCCCCAAAATAGGTTTAAAACGTTTGATCCTGGAAATTCTTGTTATGTAGTTCTCAGAAGGGTGATACCCTAAAAAGTACAATACTCGAATCAGGCTGGTTTAAATGTATTTCAGAATTGTTTTTTACTAGAGACTTTAGTGGTTCCCATTATACAACTGTGAACTTACATATTCAATGATTCCTTATTGAATTTCTTCATTGATCAGGAATATTTAAGTAGTATTAAGTAGTAATCAAGTAGCTCCAAGGTCAGTAGGTCTACAGAAAAAATGTCCAACTACATTAACGTCTAACAGAATAAATGTAATAAAACTTTGATCTACTGCTACATTAAATCTAATGATTCAATTTCCACAGCTAAAATGTCAACCAACAGACATGTCTACTAACTACAACGTCTATCAGCTAAATGTCGACTAGCTAAAAG